CCGCCATAAATGGCTGCTGTATTCTGTTCTCACAGGTGAGGACACTGAGGCACTGAGAGGGTACAGTACCTACCCAGCCATGTCCAGGTAGCCACTGGTGCCCCAAAACCCAGGCCTGCTTGATATCTGAGCCTAAGCCCTGAGACAGTGTCCTCCTCTGTGAACGCATGACAACCTTATCAGGCCCACATCATGGGTTGCCCTGACATTCGAGTAGATGGCAGATGGGGCAGGCTTTGCTCCTCCCTCCTTTCCTGCAGGCCCAGCTGCAATCTCAGGGGGCTGGAACTGCATCAGTGCCACTCAGAGGGTCTCCATGCCCACCTGCCCATGTGGAACCTCCCTGGACACCACATTGCCCCATTGTGTGACCTCGGCAGTCCAAAGCCCTCTGCTGCTCCATCAGGTTGGTGTGCAGCTGGCTGCATGGGGCCTGGTCACTCTTCAGTGTGAGATCCCACAAGAGCTTGTCGGGCCTCAGGGATGTTCCTTGTAGAGTTAAACCTGGACTGTGTGGGGGGCACAGCCAGGACTGTGGATCTGGAGAATATGCGGCCCTCCCTTGTACCTGCTCATACCTACAGGTTCCCCTACTGAATAGGGCTGACTTGTAAAGATAAATTGCAAGCCTGCACCTATGGGTTTGGTTTGCTCTCCTTTTTTTCTTTTTTTTTTTCATTTGAATGAGTTGCCTATGTTTAAAAATGTTGAGAGCAGGCCAGGCATGGTGGCTCATGCCTGTAATCCCAGCTCTTCAAGAGTCCAAGCAGGAGGATTGCTTGCTCCCAGGAGTTTGTGACCAGCCTAGGCAACATAGCAAGACCCCTTCTCTAAAAATAAAAATAAAAAAATTAGCCAGGCAAGGTGTGATCCCAGCTACTTGAGAGGCTGAGGTAGGAGGATTGCTTGAGACTGGGAAGTTGAGGCTGCACTAAGCCATGATCACTCCACTGCACTCCAGCCTGGGCAACAGATCGAGATCCTGTCTCAAAAAAAAATCACAAATATAGGCGTTGGCAATAAAAATGACAGAGAACTCCAAGGGCCTGTCCCTCAAGAGAAACACACACACACAAAATTAGCAAAATACTGTCACAATCAACTTTATTAGAACTCTGGAAAACAGCCAAATATTTATAGCAACCAACTGAATTCTTTTTTCTCAATCAATAAAAAAGCAACTGAAATCTGAAGGAGAGCTTTGTGGCATCTTGATTTGCCCTTGTCCCACCCCTTCCTCCCTAGCTCAGTGGCAGTCTTAAAGATGGCAACCCTTGTTCTTAATGGGGGTTTCTGATGCCTGCGGGAGCAGAGCAAACCTTGTTCTTAAATAATTATGTCTGTCTTCACCTCAAGTGGCTCCTGAAGGACCAATACAAAGCACTTACCTTTATTTCACTTTATTTGGAACTCTCTCAGGGCAGAGAAGCATGCGCATGGAGGGAATGTGTAGAAAATATTTAAAGGTAAATGAACCAGCTGCTGCCACCTAGGGTAAAGAATATCAGACAAGGCAAAGAATACAAATGCTGAAACACTGAAAGGAAAAGCTGGGGAGGAAAAGCTTTGGGACCAGGAACTTAGAAAAGCTTCCACATATTCCTAGGAATGTAGAAGGCCACATGCATGTCTAGGCTAGGCACATACTCACAAAAAATCTTGGAATGCCCTAAGCTGTCACTGCTGGCTGAACAAGTAAGCAAGTAGGAAGTGTGCAAGTAGGAAGTGTGCAAGTAGGAAGTGAAGGTGAAGGTGAAGGCAGAAGTGTACACCACACACTGAGTGTTGAAGGCATGCTTCAACTTAAACGCAGAGCCCAGATGTAAAGAATGGGAGGTTGATTTTTCGTTCATTTGTTTTTTCTCTACAGGAGTTTAAGAAATGCTCTATCAAACAACTAGCTGATTACTAAGTAAATGAAACAGAGACTTCAGTGAACACACATGCCAAATAATAGAGTCTTTAAAAAAATAGTCTAGAAAGTCACAAAACAAACTACAGCCCACAAGAAGTAACAATGACTAAGGTGGGAAGAGACTCCAGTTTTAAGTTACCACATTGTAATATTCAAGATGTATGCTTTTCAACAACAAAATATGCTGCACACAAAGAAATAAGAAAGTCTGAATCATTCGCAGGGAAAAATGAAATTCATGGGGAAAAAAAAATCTGAATTATTCTGTAAATAATTCACAGGAATCTAAATTCTTCCATGGAATAATTCACAGAAACCTGAATTATTCTGTGAAATAATTCCAATGTCTGGGAGGAAGCTATCCTCCTGCCTCTGGCCTCAAGCTATCCTCCTGCCTCTGCCTCCCTAAGAGCTGGGATTACTGGTGTGAACCACCACACCTGGCCCAACCAATTTTTGTAAAGCGTGTCAAGATCATTCAATGGAGATCAAATTGTACAACAAATGGTACTGGGACAACTGAACATCCACATGCAAAAGAATGAAGCTGAATTCTTAACTCATACTATATACAAAAAAAAAAAAAACTCAAAATGGACGATCAATCACCTAAATATGAGCTAAAACTATAAAACACAAGAAAACAAAGAATAAATCTTTGTGACCTTGGATTTGGCAATGGTTTCTTGCTCTGACAACAAAAGCACAAGCAACAAATTAAAAATAAATAAGTTGGATTTCACCAAAATTAAAATTTTTTTTGTGCCTTAAAGGGCACTATCAAGAAAGTGAAAAGACAAATCCACAAAATTGAAGAAAATATTTGAAAACCATATATCTGATAAGGGTCAAGCATCCAAAATACATAAAAACTCTTACAACTGAACAAACAAAAGATAAACAGTCTCATTTAAAAACTGGCAAAGAGTTCAGGAACAGTAGCTCATGCCTATAATTCCAGCACTTCAGGAGGCCAAGGCAGCTGATCACTTGAGGCCAGGAGTTCAAGACCAGCTGGGCCAATATGGTGAAACTCCATCTGTACTAAAAATACAAAAATTGGCTGGGCCATCGTGGTGCATACCCCTAATCCCAGCTGAGGCACGAGAATTGCTTGAACCCAGGAAGCAAAGGCTGCAGTGAGCCAAGATCACACCTCTGCACTCCAGCCTGGGTGACACAATGAGACTGTCTCAAAAACAAACAAGCAAAAAATGGCAAAGGTTTAACTAGACATTACTCCAAAAAAGATACACAAACAGCCAGGAAATATATGAAAAGATGTTCAACATGATTCATTATTAGGAAAATGCAAATCCAAACCACAAGATATTACTTCATGCCCACTAGGCTATAATCTAAAAATTTTTAATGGAAAATAACAAGTGTTGACGAAGATGTAGAGAAACTGGAACCCTCATACATTGTTGACATGAATTTAAAATGTTGCAGTTTCTGTGGAAGACAATTTGGTGCTTCCTCAGAATGTTAAAGATAGAATTAACATATGACCCAACAATTCCACTCGGGTGTACCCAGAATTAAGAACAGATGTCAAAAACATGTACACAAATATTTTTAACAGCATTATACACAATAGCCAAACGATGGAAACAACCCAGATGTCTATCACCTGATGTATCATTTAAAAAGCAGGGCCTATTCATAAACAGAAAATCATTCAGCTATAAAAAGGAATGGATTTAGCAGGTCATGGACTCTTAAAAAACAAAAAAAGAGAATGGAGTCCTGATACATCTTACAAAATGAAGGAATGTAGAAAACATTAAGCTCAGAAGCCAGTCATAAAAAGTAACACACTGAATCATCCATTAATATGTAATATACAGAATGAAAAAGTCCATAAAGACAGGAAGGTTTGTGACTATCAGGAACTGGGAGAAGAGGGACATAGAGAGACTGCTATATGAGTATGAGATTTCCTTTTGGGGTGATTAAAAAGTTCTGGAACTAGATAGTACCGATGGTTGCACAACATGGTGAATGTACTAAATGTCACTGGATTGTACAGTTTACTCTTTAAATTTTCTTTAGAGACAGGGTCTTGCTATGTTGCCCAGGCTGGTTTTGAACTCCTGGCCTCAAGCTGTCCCCCCGCCTCTGCCTCCCAAAGTGCTGGGATTACAGGTGTGGGCCACCAAGCCTGGCTATACTCTTTAAAATGGTCAAAATGGCAAATGTTATGTGGTGTATATTTTACCAAAATTTTTGAAAGACATTTTAGAAAAAAATGCAACTGCATGGGGAAAAAATATGAATACTGTTTGCATCTTTCAATCTTTACATCTATGTTCATGGTTTTTGATTGCTTAAATGTTGCCAGGCTTTCATTTTATCTTAGCTAATACCTTGTACAAAAACACAGCAAGCAGGTTTAAAAAAAATTTATGTGAACCATAATAAATGGATTTCTGCTTGTGGCATAAAAGAAATATATATTTAGTCTTTGTCCCAAGTTCCTGGAACTTGTAAAACCTTTGCAATTCCCAAACACTGTCTTCTGATATTCATAATAAGCACCTTTTTGTCACACCTGGGTTTATGTTAATGAGACTCCTGGTGGGCCCCTAGATAGCATCAGAAAGGAGGCTAGTTGCCAGAGGAAGCAACCATGTGCTTAGAGGGTTGGAATTTTCAGCCCCATACCCTGACATCTGCAGAGACAAGCTTAAAAATGAGTTATTCACTAATGGCCAATTACTTAATCAATGCTGGGTATCTAATGGAACCTCCATCAAAACCCTAAATGATGGGGTTCAGAGTGCTTCTGGATTGGCCAACATATCCTGTGCTGGGTAGTGAACCCCAATTCCATAGGAACAAAAGCTCCTGTGCTTGGGACCGCCAGTCCTCACCCCAGGTACTTCTTCATCTGGCTGTTCATTTGTATCTCTGACAACAAAATGGTAACAGTAATGTGCTTCCCTCAGTTCTGTGCCATTTTAGCAAATTACTGAGCTGGAAGAGGGCGTCATGGGAACCCCCAATTTGTGACCATGTCACAAAGAAGCATGGTTAACCCAGGGACCCTCTACTTATGACTGGTGTCTGAAGTGTGGGGCAGTCATGTGGAACTGAGCCCTTAACCTGTGGGGTCTTCACTAATTCTGGAAGTAACTGTTAAAACTGTAGGACACTGAGTTGGTGTCTGCAGAGAACAGGAGAATCGTGTGAAAACCAACACATTTGGTATCAACGGTCTTATGAAAAGCAGTTTTTCTTTACTACCAATAACAGGTGATGATACAGATACAACCTGTGATAACCCTATTTTCTCTATACTTAGTTATACTGTCCTGATGTCCACAAATAGATTCTGCTGTATGATTTATTGAAGAAACCACCTAAAAATGTTGAAATTGTTCAAGTATTCAGGGACTTTAGCTAAAACTGTTCAAGAATTCAGGGACAATAAATCCTTAACATGCAAAAAACGAGACAGAGAGAAATTTAAGATTTTTAAAAATCTGATTTCTAACATTTTGAAGACTCAGAATATTTGGCATTACTGGATCTGCTTTCCTGCCTACCCAGATTTGCTACAGCTGAGGCTGCCTTCTTTAGGTAGGGCATGCACTCTTCAATTCTCCATCCTCCCTACTCCTTGTTGTCACTCTGACAGCCTCATTCATCTGACTGTGAGGACATTTGAGTATCTCTGGGCCTGCATGGGTGCTTATGAAGATTTGGAGTTGGCTGGTCATGGTAAGTCTCATTTACTAGCAATTGCTTTTCTCCTGGAACATGAGGATCTGAAGGAACAGTGATGCTCCCAGTCCAAGTATCTTAAATAACTGTACCACATTCAGAAAACCTCCAGTGGTTCATCCTAAACTAAATGATTAGCTTCTGTTCTAAGGAGCCTAGGGTCCAGAGAGAGCCTTTGCCTTACAGAGCTCACAGGTGGGCATGGTAAAGAGGTGTGTGGTGCCTGAGGGAGGGCAGAAGTTATCATGTCCTTGTCTTGCCTGTGTTTTCTAGTCCCCTTCTTACTACTTACTATTGGGCCTGCTCTTCTTCAGCTTCCTGATACTTAAGTTTGCCTGTTCCTTTTATTGCTTACAATTTTTTTAAGTGGTGAGAGATTCCCTTCTAAAAAGTATCTTGAGGCTTCCAGGATTTTCATCAGAGACCTTGAAAAGCACCAATGAGATCAGGAATCCAAGGCAGCTACCTTCCTTCAGGATCTGAAAAGTCATGTTTGTGGAAGAGTTCCAGTTATTACAAAATAGGAACCGTGTAACATGCTAATGTGTTGAAAACATTTTATACTTATATGAAGGGCATCTACAGTAAATGTTATCTTCAACAGCTGAATAATATCCCATGTATGCATATTTAACAATGTGATATGCAAAAAACTTATTAACTCCTTAGAGTACTACTGAGACTAAATATCTCTTCTTATTTTAACTTTTTTTTTGAATCTGTTTAAAAGCTGCCTGTTAGTGTGTCTAAATTACTTACCTTTAGATATTAATGTTTTAAGAGATAGGGTCTCACTGCCACCCAGATAGCTAGGACTGCAGGCACACACCACCATACCTGGCTAACTTTTTAATTTTTTGTAGTGATGGGGTCTTGCTATGTTGCCCATACAGGTCTGGAACTCAGGGCCTCAAGCAATCTTCCTGTCTCAGCCTCCCAAAGCACTGAGATTAAAGGTGTGTGCCACCATGCCCAAGTACTATACTTTTATATCACAAATTTCACAAAAGTATTTCCACATTTTGTGCTTTGTCTTTTAAACTTTAAAACAAAAAACATATAGAAATATTTAGTTTCTAGTAGTCAATTTATCAGTATATACCTTGTGGCTAGTTTCTGGCTTTCACCTAATGCTTAGAAAGGTTTTCTCTATTATATGAAAATAAGATACGTACTCAGATCTTTTTCCTTTTTTAAATAAATCTTTATTACTTTTCATCTTTTCAAAAGTAATGCATGCTTGTTGTCAAAAATTAAACAAATAAATTAAGGTAGGTAGAGTAAATATCTTTATTATGGGTTTTTCTATCCAAGAACAAGGCTTCTCTCTCTCTCTCTCCATTTATTCAAATTTCCTTTGTAAAGTTGCCCTCAGGTGAAGACTTAAATTTCTCCATACAAGTCCGCCATAACTGTTTATTTCTAGAAAATCTACTTTTCTTGATGCTACTGGGAATGAAATATTTTCCTTCATTATATTTTCTAAGTCCTGTTGGTACAAAACAAAGCTATTTATTTTTGGATGTTTCTCTTTAACTGGTCATCCTTTCCTGATTAAAAATTGAATAGAATTAAAAACTGTTTCCATATGAAGACTCTGCCATATTCATCCCCTCTTGGGGGTTTTTCAATGGATGAATCTGATGATACTTGACCCACTTTGGCATTAACCTTGAGAGTTTTCTACATCTTTCTCATTATTAGGATTTTCCTTCACTATGGACACTCTGATGCTGACTGAGCTGGAAGCTAAACCTGAATGCTTTCCCACACACATTACACATATATGGTTTCTTCCAAGTGTGGACCGTCTGGTGTATAATGTAGTCAGAACTAAAGCTGAAGCCTTTGCCACATTCCACACATCTGAAGGGTTTCTCCCCAGTGTGGCTTCTCTGATGCCGAATTAAATGGGCATTAACATGGAAGGCTTTTCCACACTCCTTACACTGAAAGGGTTTCTCTCCAGTATGGATTCTCTGGTGCACAATATAGTTGGAACTACAGCTGAACGCTTTCTCACATTCCATACATTTGAAAGGTTTCTCCCCAGTATGTATCCTCTGATGCCTAGTTAGTTTGGCATTGATACTAAAAGCTTTCCCACATTCCTTACATTGAAAGGGCTTTTCTCCAGTATGGATTCGGTGATGATCAAGTAGGTTTCTTTTAGAAGTAAAGCATCTCCCACACTCATCACATTCAAAAGGTTTCTCCCCAGTGTGAATTCTCTGATGCCGCATTAGTTTCCCATTAACGCTGAAGGCCTTTCCACACTCATTACACTCATAAGGCTTCTCCCCAGTGTGAATTTTCAGATGCTGTCGAAATTGGGAGTTACACCTGAAGGCTTTCCCACATTCATTACACTCATAGGGTTTCTCACCTGTGTGAATTCTCTGGTGTTGGATTAACTTCCCTTTGACACTAAAGGCTTTTCCACATTCAGTGCATTCATAGGGTTTCTCACCTGTGTGGATTCTCTGATGCTGAATGAGTTTTGTATTATTACTGAAGCCTTTTCCACACTCCTTACACTGATAGGGCTTCTCTCCTGTGTGGATGCTTTGATGCTGCCTAAGCTGGGAGCTGCACCTGAAGCCTTTTCCACATTCATTACATTCATAAGGTTTCTCTCCAGTGTGGATTCTCTGATGTTGAATTAATTTTGCATTAACATTGAAAGCTTTCCCACAGTCATTACACTCATAAGGTTTCTCCCCAGTGTGGACTCTCTGATGTGTAATATATGCAGAACTACAGCTGAAGCCATTTCCACACTCCTTGCACTGATAGGGCTTCTCTCCCGTATGAATTCTCTGATGCCTACTTAGGCTTCCATTAACACTGAAGGCCTTCCCACACACCTTACACTGATAGGGCTTCTCCCCACTGTGGATTGTCTGATGTGTGATATAATGGGAACTGTAGCTGAAGCTTTTCCCACACTCCACACATTTGAAGGGTTTCTCCCCACTGTGAAGTCTTTGATGCCAAATTAATTTCTCATTAATGCTGAAAGCTTTGCCACACTCCAAACATTGATAAGGCTTTTCCTCGGTGTAGTTTTCTTGATGTTGATTAAACTGAGAGTCACACCTAAAGGGCTCCACTAATTCTTCACATTTGAAAGCCCTTTCCTCAGAATTAATTATTTCATGCTTAACAAGTTTTGTATCAAAGCTGATGGCTTTCCCCAGGCCTGTACATCCAGAGGGCTGCTCTACAGTGATGGTATGACACGAATATGAGGTTGGACTTTGACTAAAAAAACACTCCGCCATGGGGCTTGTCTCATCTGTCACTGTTCCATCAATGGTGTTGCTTTTTTCCTTCTTTATATTTCCTGCAGAGTAGAGTTCCTGTTGTTTCTCCAGAAGAGAGGTTTCTAAAAAGCCTGTTTCCTGGGAAAAGTCCCTTTGAAGTTCAAATGATACATCCTCTTTCCTGTCATACATTTCCTTTGTGAAATCACTGTCAGTCTGAATATCTACTACAAAAAACAGAAAACATAAAATGTCATGCAAGAGAAATATTAGAAAAAGAGAACTGTGCTATAAAAGACCATAATAATCAGGGGGCTCCCTAAAATCATGGGACTAGGTCAAAGAACCTTGGGTTTCTCTATAAGGTGGGATAAGTAATATGTAGCTAGTAAAAGAATACAATAAATCCATATATGCTGACAGAAAAAGACATCCAAGATACAATCAAATGGAAAAACAAGTTGAAAAAACAGTATATAGATTTTCATCTGTATAAAGATATAAAAGGCAGATATACATATTTGTACATATCTAGAAAACTTCTAGAAGAATCCACCAGAAACTACACAAACTGGCACAGGAAGTTTGGTGGACTTGCTTCCCCTTTTTATATTTTCTGTACTGTTCTGAGTATGTGTCAATATTATAAAGTAATAATAAAAAAAATCACCAGTCTCAACTGTGCCTAACGCAACGCCACTGTAGAGAAAATAACCAATCACATGAAGGTTAAAAGTGACGGCTGGGCACCATGGCTCACACCTATAATCCCAGCACTTTGGGAGGCCAAGCCAGGCAGATTACCTGAGCTCAGGAGTTCGCAACTAGCCTGGGAAACACAGTGAAACCCCATCTCTACTAAAATAAAAAAAATTAGCCAGGTATGGTAGTTCCAGCTACTCAGAAGGCTGAGGCAGGAGAATTGCTTGAACCCAAGAGACAGAGGTTGCAGTAAGCCAAGTTCATGCCACTGCACTCCAACCTGGGAGACAGAGTGAGACTCTTGCCCCCACCCCCCAACCCCCCAAAAAAAGGGACAGCAGTGGAATAAAACTCTAGGTCTTGTCCACCAGGTCAGCATTCTTTTCATCACACCATGCTTTCCTACATCCTGCAGTTTCCTCTTAGTTGTTCCTACAGCACTGAATTCCTTACTAAAAAAAAAAAAAAAAAAAAAGGAAAATGCTGAAGGAGGGAAAGGCACAGGATCCAACAGGATGTGGCAACTTGGGGAACTTGGGGGATGACAAGAGTCAGCAGCCTCAGGAAGCAAAATAGAAATAATTTTGTTTCCTTCCTTAGAATGTTAACTGTGGAACTTCCAAAATTCCTCCTTCAACTTCATTTCTACTTTACACAGGTTCTATTTAAGGCCCATCTCATCTTATCTCTTCCCATTCCTCTCCAAGTACTGCTGCAGTAATCTTGCCTTTTCCTTCACTTCTTCCTCCAAACTTAAACTTAATCATTCCCTAAAAGTCTTTCTACAATCCCAGTAATCTTTAGAACTAGAACTACTGATCTCTGCATTTGTTCCCAAATTTCTCAAAAGCTTAGCCCCAAAATGTTGCCTCATGTTGTTTCATCTTTCATTATTCCTCAACCATATGTAATATGCCCCCCCCTCAATATTTCATAATTGCCCTCAATAAAACCCTCCAATGGCCTGGATTCCCCAGCAAGCATTTTCAAATTAATATTGGTCTTTTCTCAACTAAAAAAATAATACTCATCCTTTGCTATACACTGAATGTGTCCTCCCCACAAATTCATATTCTGAAATCCTAACCCCTGATGTGATTGTTTTAGGAGGTTGGGCTATGGGAGAACCCTCATGAATGAGATTAATGCCCTTAAAAAAGACCCCAGAGAGCTCCCTTCCTTTCCACCCTGTAAGCATACTGTGAAAAGATGGCTGTCTATTAGCCAGGAAGCAGGCCCTTGCCAGACAGAACCTGCCTGGACCTTGATCTTGGACTTCTCAGCCTCCAGAACTGTATGAAATAAATTTCTGTTGTTTATAAGCCATCCACTCTATGGCAGTCTGTTACTATAGCCCAAACTGACTAAGACATCTATACTATCATATGTCTAGTCACCATCTCTGGAATCTATTCCTGTTTTGCTGCACTCTCACCAACACTGAATATAATTTTTCTCAATATGATAGGTAAAATACCTCTCTTTGTTTTAATTTGTATTTCACTGGTTTCTACTGAGGGTGGACATTTTTCACATTGATTTCACATTTGTACTTAGGTGGACCAGTTACTTATATTCTTTGCCAATTTTTCTACACTGGTTACTTTCTATTTCCCACATCCTATTGGGTGGCATATGTCAGTATCCCTCCTCCCTTTTTTCTTTACTAGCACATCCTCTATTATTTTGAAGTCACAAAATTTTCCTGTCTTACAGTGAGGATGGCCATTTGACACAGCTGCAGCAAAGGAAAGACAGATATCATTGGATGGGCTTCTGAACATTTTTAAAAAGAAAGTCAACACTGCTGCCATGGGCCTCATGCCCTTCACTGTCCCTTCTGCCTGCCTAGAGCCTGTTTGGTTCCTCATCCCAATTAACCTACACACATTAACTACAATGTTTCTATCCCCAGCTAGGAGCATGATGGGTGCCTGGAAAGGTCAAAGACTTCAGGAGAGTCAGCTGCCTACACAACGAAATCCAGGCTCCTTCGATTAAGGACCTCACAATATCACTTCATTCCCTGTGTTTGTCAAGCACATTATGTGGCAAACTCTCCATTTCCAAAACATGCCTTCCTTGGTCATATATCATCTGATAGAATGATCAAAAGGAATAAAAACCCATAGAAACCATCTATGAAAAATGAAGACTCACTGAAAAAATGCAAGAAAATCTCACAGACCCTAAATGTAAGAAATAACAGGGGGCCTCGGGGGCGGGGGGGCGGGATGAGAAGTCATCTGGCAGCTACTCTGCTGGCACCAATTAGAGCCCTGCTCCTTCAAGTGTGATCTGGTAACTAGAAGTACTGGCATCACCACCTCACCAGGGAATGTCACAGAAATGCAGACTCCTGGCCCTGCTCCACACTTACTGCATATCTGTAAGACCTCAGGATTCACATTCACACTTAAGAAGCACAAATCAAGAGCACTTCCTCCCTTCCACATTATTTTCCCCATGTACAGCTGTCTTCCTCAACGCCAAAGTAAAAATATTAAACTGAGCACGCACTATAAGCCAAGCACTTATATGTGTTATCTCACTTAATCCTCAACCCACAAAACTAATACTATACTAACCCATTTTCAGAGATGAGAACACGCAAATAACCCACTCAAAGTCACACAACCTAGGAAGCAGCACAGTTGGGAATGGACCTCAGAAAAGTCTCCTCTAAAGACTGTGCTTTTAACCACTTCTGTCTGTGTGAAAATGCTGTTAATTCTGTATCCTCCACACTAAGTGAACAATGCTTAGAAATGGCAAGGATCCCCAAAATTGCTGAGTCTATTAATTTTGTCTGAGAAAGGCAGGATTCCAAAATCAGGACTGAAAAGAGTCAGAATAAAGGATTTGGAAAAAGATGTATCCTTGCAATTAGACATAACAAACTTTGAAGACAGAAAGGACTGTACCTATCTCTATGAATTATTAAAATTTACTCCAACTTTACTCTGTATGACTGGCCAATAAATATAGCATGTTTACACGTTGCTAAAGTTGGCTTTCAGCTTCAAGTGCTACACTCCAACAGAATGGGAAATATGTACCTCCCTTACCAGTCCGGAGGACATGGAGGCCTGTTCCTGCAGCCAGTGGAGATGGGCCCCCCAGCTCACCTCCTCCCTCCAGTTGTGAGATCACAGCAGGTTTGAGAAGTGGAAATCCTGGTTTGGGAGAGGTAAATAGGAGAGACAGATGAATAATCTTCCACAGATAAATTCCTAAGTCTCTTCTCAGATTGTCTCAGTAATGGGAGGGAAGGTAAGAGCCCCTGGAGGTCCCACGCCTAAGGACTATGGGAAAGTATGTGGGGCTTAGGAAGGACTAGAGAGACCTTGGATACTTCCAAGGGCTTTGGGAGGCAAGTGTAGGGGTTGAGGGTTAAGGCTTGGGAAGGTGTGGGAGAGCCTGGGAAGGGCCCAGACTGTAGGCCTAGGAGACCTCATGCAGGACAAGCCGGGAGATTCTTCCCAAAGGGATACCACTTTTTGACCTTGGCCTGAAATATCCAGAGTACACTGAGATCCTTGAAAAGACTCAAGATAGGTAAGATGAGAGGGGACCTGAAGATGCCACTGTGGAACGGGTTCTCATTCAGTAAAAGATTACCAGAGATCTCACCAGTAACCTGTAAGGGAGAAGCAAGCCAGGAACCCCAACTGGCCGACTCCAGGTTCCCAGGGGAGAGAGGTCTTACCCAGGGAGGCCACATTCCCATAATTCTCCAGCATCACATCCCTGTACAGGGTCCTCTGTGCAGGGGACAGGCCATCCCATTCTGCCTGGGTGAAGTACACAGCCACATCCTCAAAGGTCACCGACTTCTGAAACAACAGGTTCCTGCTGCCCTAGGGCCAATTCCATGGCTCAGGCCCTAAGTGAGGGGCAGAGGGCAATATAAGGGCTTGGGGAGGGTGCTTGTGAGAGCACAAAATTAATATTAACAAGGGAAAGATCTCAGAAAAAACATCAAGAAGGTAAACTACAGGGTATCCACCTTCTCCCACAGCAGGGAAACCTCATGCCATTTTTTACACAAATAAGAGGTAACATAAGACAGGCTGATAGAAAAACATTTTCCATAAGCAAGTGCCTAAAGCCAACTCCACTCTTTTAGATAGGCTGCTCCCTCCTGGCAAGCACGGGGTCGACCGACCAGCCACTCCCCTGAGGTCTTGGCTCCCCTGCACCTAAACACAGCCCTGCTCTGCTCCCCGCATCATCCTCATCCTCACATCTCAAGCCACCCCTAAAGATCAGCCATGGCTTCTGTCTCACCCAGCCCCACCTGATTCCCCTCAAAGACCCCACAACCAAGGGGCTGTGCAGCCCCTGCTTGAACACCTCCAGCCAAGGCTGCTTCGTGATGCCCAGGCTGCAGGGTCTCCTGGAAAATCAGAAATTTCCTTACCCTCTCCCATTCAAGTCTCAAACTTTACAATTCTCTGAAAACTTTACTGTTTCTCCGGGAACATTTGGGAAAGCAGGGAGACGGGCCTTCCCACCGGCCAGCTACTCTCCCCTTTCCATCAGTAAGCTGTGTGGTTGGCACAAGCTCCACCACTCAGGGATGCTGTGTCACTCCCATGCCCAACCACCCCTCTTGGGTAGCTGTGGCCTCTGCCAGGCTCACCCTCTGCCCACCTCAGCCTGCTCTAACAGCCATGGGGGCTCACTGACAGGGATCTGCCGTTCAAACTCTCTCTGCCAGGAGGTGTCTTTGTGAGCCTACTGACCTCCACCCATCAGCAATTCTAGCCAAACTCTAGGTGTTTCTGTGAGTCTGCTTTGTGTGACCTTGAACAAGTCACTTCTCTGCACAAAATGTAATGTCTTCACTGTGTACCGCCACCACCACCTCACTACATTGGCACTTCCTTCTAAACTTACGCCTCAGCTGGGGCCAGAATCACCCGCACGAGAAACCTCGGCCTGAAACCTGGGGATTGTTCTTGACTTGCCGTCTTCCTTATCACCACTAATCCTTTGACTCTCTGTGTCCGAAAGATTTTTTTTTTTGAAATGGAGTCTCGTTCTGTCACCCAGGCTGGAGGGCAATGGCAAGACCTCAGCTCACTGCATCCTCTGCCTCCCAGGCTCAAGCAATTCTCCTGCCTCAGCTTCCTGAGTAGCTAGGACTCTGGGATTCTTCTCTGTGAAGTGATCACCTTGCTTTTGAATCTACCTTAAAAATTATTCCATACACATCGCAAATCTGACCAAGCTAACATCAGCGGTTCCACAGCTGCCTTGTGGCTGAGCAGTTTCGAATCACACAATAACTCTGTGATCCTGGGGAAGTTACTCTACTTGCCCCGGATCACAGAGTTATTTGGTAGAAAGAATACAGCACAGCACTTATCACACACATAGGGCAGCAGTCAGGACCAAAAGACCATACAAAGGGCTGAGCATGGGGCCTGCAGCATAGTAAGCCTCAACGATACAACTGGTGTGACTGTGGCTATATTGTTCCCAACGTGTAGTACATGGAAGTCCATGGATGAGCTTCAGGGGATCCATTAAGTCCCTGAAAGTGTATGGAAAGTTTGGTTTGCAGGTTCATTTTTCTGGAGGAGAAGGGGGAAAGCTCTTCTCAGAGACCTGAGTCCGCATCCTAAGCCTTGAAAGCTTCACAAGAACAATGAGACACTCCATCCCATGGGACTCCCTGTCTTCCCCCTCCCTTGACTCCACTTCCTGTGACCTTCCTTTTCTCCTGAATTAGAGGCACAGCCATCGTTCTCTGATCTGGTCCTGCTATTCCTCTTCCCTACATCCCCACCACAGATAGCCCAATTCTCTGCAGACTGTCCTCCATGCATAGCCCTGCACAGAGCATCCCACGCAGGCGGCTTCCATGTCCCCACTCACCCAGAGCCCTATGCTGGCGGTGCTCCCATACAGAGGAGCAGAGACCCTCAGTGTGCAAAAGACCACCACCCTCCTGCTCTCCCACTCACTCTCCCACTGCCTCCGCTTGCTACTGTCCAGGTCTCTGCCGCCCTCCCTTCACACCACCTCTTTCCCACAAATTCCAGTTCAGCAGGTGGAAGCAGCCATCATCCCAAGGTTCACCAGCTCTCCTCAATTTTTTTCAATCTGAAACTTCCCAGAGGAAGAGCTGAAGGACCCACAGCTCACCTGGGGCCAGGCTGTCAGGTGTATGGCTGCCATCCCCAGGTCTCCCTCTCAGAGAAGGGCTGGAGCTAAAGAGAAATAAAAAGAGGGACAAGTATGAGGCAAGCCACCTCTGCCAGAGCAACATAGCCCCTCACAGAAAATGCAAGACACAGGCAGCTTGCATCCAAATGGGAGTGTGAACAGGAGCCGCCCAAGAAAGGAATGATCTGTTCACTGGCTCAGTGCCTAGGACTTCAGGCTATGACACTGAAATTCACTGCCAGGAACCCTAGGACTTTACAGTTCTGACACATATCACACAAACAGAAGAGTGTATATATAAAATGTAAAAATAAATAAACAAAATAAATCAAAAAAGAAGAAGAGTGTATATAAGACCTGCCAGGCACTGAGGCTCATGTCTATAATCCCAACACTTTGAGAGACCAAGGCAGGTGGATCACTTGAGCCCAGGGGTTCAAGACAAGCCTGGGCACATGGCGAAACCCTGTCTCTACCAAAAATACAAAAATTAGCCATGGGTGGTGGCATGTGCCTGTGGTCCCAGCTACTCAGGAGGCTGAGGTGGGAGGATCACCTGAGCCAGGGAGGTCAAGGCTGCAGTGAGCCAAGATCACACCACTGCACTCCAGCCTGGGTGATGAGAGTGAGACCCTGTCTCAAAAAAATAAAAAATAAAAATAAATAAAATAAAATGTATGCAGAACCTAAAAAAGAAAGCAGAGAGTCATGTATCAACAATTCAGTTCAAGAAATAGGACGGTACCAAGATCATTGACTTATTTCTCTTTCTCAAAACAAGCATCATCCTCAGTATCACAGCAGGAGAAGCTGGGCTGGCTGGGCTGCAGCCCCAGTAGACAGGCCTGGGGAGTCAGGCCCTAGGGAGGCAGCACCCGGAGAAGAGGGCAGCTGCTCCCCAGAATCCTGCCTCATTTCTTCAAAGCTCTGAATGTCCTCAAGAATCCTAACACCTCTGGAGAGGTCTTGGGAAGTCTGTCTCCTACATGGCCCAAGCTGTCCTTAGGAAGCTGAGCTGGGCGTTAGGGACCAGGCTGTCTCCCATTCTTTCCAGTCTTCTGATAGTGAATGAGCCAAGGCCTAGACTTCTGCCTCAGCTCCTGAGAGGAGATCACTGTAGCAGCCAGAGTCCCATGACGCAGCACCTCTTGTTTATTATATTCAAAAACACGCGGACTGGTGATTTTCTGACTTTTACTGCTCCTACAGTCAGTCTTGAAATTACATTTTCCTAAAATATCATTCATTTCTTCCAGGATTTCAACTTTACTAGTATAGAGTTGCAGAAAATACTGGTTCAAGATTCTTTCCATCTCCTCCATATCTGGAGCTAGTTTGCTTTTCCCACTTCTTCTTTTGAATATATGTCCTTTCCAGACCTTTTTCCTAGGGTTAGGGTTACGGACTAAACATTTATGTCCCTGCCAAATTCATATGTTGAAGCTCTAGCCCCCAACGTGACTGTATTTAGAGATGGGCTTGTGAGGAGGTAATAAGAATAAATGAGTTCCTAAGGGTAGAACTAAGGTCCTAAGGTTAAGTGAGTTCCAATAGGGCTGGTGCCTTTATAAGGAGAGACCCAGAGCCCATGCACCCACTCACTCCGTGTCTCCTCTATGTGAGGATGCAATGAAAGGGCTACTGTCTATAAGCCAGGAAGACAGCCCTGGCAGGAGCCGAAATCAGCTGGCACCTTGATCCTGGATTTCCAGTCTCGGGGACTGTGAGAGATAAATACGTTGGTGAAGCTGCCCAATCTATGGTATTTCGTTATGGCAGCCCAGGCAGATTAATACAGTTAGGCTGAGCAGTGGTTTGCTTATTTTAATGTGGTTTCCTTTTCTCTTCAAGGAACCAGCTTTTCCAGTTGAGCAACACTGCTTTCCTCTATTTGTTTTAAATTCACCAATTCTGCTGTCTTCGTTTGCTCTTTCAGTTCTGCAAGGGGCAGTTTAAGTACCACTCCAATCCTCTTGTTCGATCCTTAGTCCAGTTCTACAGAGGCTTTAGTCAGTTTTGAGAAGGTGCAACCTACCATGATCTTCACAAGGACCTACACCACCTATGTCTGGTTCCTGCCCTGGGGCTTCTCTGGTGTCCTGTGTGGGACACCTGTGGACACCTGCTGGGCCCTGAAATGCAGGGGTGTTAACACTTATGGGATCCCTTGACCAATAGGGTACAAAAACCAATGGAGAAATGTTTCCCCTTCAGTCCCCCAGCGGTGCAGCCTTAAGACTCCAAGGCTCCTCAAAGACCCTGCAAAGCAGAGCCTGTTGAGGGCCGAGTGTACCTCGTATCAGAGTGGGAGAACTGATACGCATCCTTGTATCAGTTCTCCCACTCTGTTTCACTCCCCTTGTCTTTCATTCTGCACCTGTGACCACATTCCTAAATAAGTTCCTACATACAAATCGTTGTTCCATGTTCCACTTTTGGGGAAACTTAAGACTACAAAGGCTTTTTTCCTACCTTCTTGAGGCTGCAAGACTTATTTATTTTCATTCTTTTCTGTTTGGCAATTAAAACCTATAAGGCCACAAATTTTCCTCAGAATATGCTATTTGCCACATTCCAGAGGTTTATATATTTCATGTTTTAATTGCTATTTTACAGTCAGTTCGCAATTCTGTTTTGTCTCTCACCTAGTAACTGTTTAGGATAATTTGCTGTTGTTAATTTCTTCTCTGTTCATAACTTCTGGCTTTATTGCATGATGACTATATAACCCAATCTACTAACTTCTGCTTTCCACATTTTTCAGGATTTTTGTGACTCAAGTATCTATTTAAAAATATATGGTATCTGGTGTTTAAAGAGAAAACTTTCTCTTTCTGTGATGGGAGAATATATAACTCCATTTTTAGATAATAAACAAATTCTACCAATTACATATGTAGTGTGATGGATACCCTGCTCAGCTAGTCAAGGTTGTACAGTCAAGGGTGTACACCTGCTGCCTGAACTTTGACAGCCAGGCAGTGAGCCAAGACCACAGGGCTCAGCAGAGGAGCAGGTGTTTGCAAGAGTGCAAATGTTCTAGAGAGTATATGAGAACCTACCAAGAAAAGTCTTGTTGTTTAAATTCAGTAGGCAAAGAGCCAGAACATTAGCTTAAAAGTACTTAGAGACGAGGGGCACCACAGATCTCTAAAGCTGTCCTGATGCCATTCAACAGTATGTACATAAGTCCTAATAAATTCATCCACTTGCCAAGCTGGACTTGTCCAAAGCATTCTTTGGCTCCTTCCCAGTTTAGAGGAAGGTTTTTAAAAATATGATTCCAGGTTTTTTCTTGTTATAACATTCTATAGATTTTCTACATAATCTGAATTACTTTTACCTAATTAAACCAAGTCAGCCAGTGAAGAGCTAACTCTCACAAAACACTGAGCTCTGATGTGTCATGAGCAAATCCATTCAAATGTTTCAGAAATGAGTAATTCTAACATGATGTAAACTGTGGCAGAGCACAGCAAAATAAGTTTCCCAATTCTTTCTGTGGTGCCAACACAATACTGATAAGAAAAACTATAGACCAGTCTCATTTATGAATTCTAATGCAAAAATTCTATCAAGGAATAGGCTCCAGGAGTTCATTGAAGTAATACATCATGAGTAAGTAGGATTATCCCTTGAAGATAAACCAAGCTCAATGTTAGGATACAAATTAGTATATTTTTCACATTAATAAATCAAAGACAGATAAACACACTGTCCATCTAAACAGATGCCAAAGGTATTTAACATAATTCAACATTCATGCCTAACTTTAAAAACTTACACCCTAGAGAAATTCTCATATGTAGGAGGTACGTACAAAAATATTCATTATCAGCATTATTTTAATAGCAAAACACTGAAAACAACCCACATGTCCATTGATAAATTTTCATACAGTTTTTACAATGGAACATTACCCAGAAGCTACACAGAATGAATTTGGGAACATAATATTGAATTATGTGAGTCACTGATTACTTATACACACAATGGTGCTATTTATATAAAGCTCAAAAACAAAAAAAGTTTAAGTACATTGCTTACAGATACATGCATATGTAATTGTAAAAATAATAGGGCTACAATTAACACAAAATTCAAGACAACTTTTACCTCTAGGGGTGGGAGACTGGGAATTGGAGTGAGGAAGAGGAACACACTGATAAATTCAGCAGTACTGGCAATGTTCTGTTTCTTAACTGGGTGGTGTGTTCATGGATGCTTTTTACTACTATATAACACATAACATATAAATATATATTTTTAAATAAATACATAAACCAGCAAAGATGGGGTAAAAGGGAGGACCCAAAATGTAATACAAAGAACAGCCAGTGTGGCTAACTATAGTACAATGAACATAACCATACTTAGGTGGTAGGAAAGAAAAGTAAGCAATTTTGGAAAACAGTATTTTGACTAAAACATCCTAAGATTAAAGACAAAAAGACCTGTATCCAAGTACTGTACTTTAGGTAGTGAATTTGCTTTTCATGGGGGTATGAATTCGCGATTCTGAAACTACTAAATATATTCTAAAACTGACTGAATTCGTAATCACGTTGTAGACGTCATTCCCAGGTCACTGTCACCCCAGAGCCAAGAAAAGTAGGGCTGAGTTACCTTTTGGGACTGACACTGCTCCAGGAGACAGTGTCCTCCAAAAGCCGGGCTTCTTCTGCTGCCGGGTGACTGGGAGGGGCAGGTCTAATTCATGACCCTGTATCAGAAGCCTGGGAGCACACGGTCCATACTTGGGATGCACATAGGTTAATGTTCCTGCCAGACCTCAACTCGTCAGAAGACTTGCAGTATCATCTAAGGCCGCTTCATGCCCACAAATATTCCACCCTTTAGCTGCACCACACATCTTCCCCCAGCAGACAAGTGCTAAATGTCCGGGGCCTCGTGGCTGTGACAGCAACACAGGTTTCCCCTTCCAATGGGTGCAACCTATTGGGCCACAAAGACCAAAGCTGGAGTCGAGGAGCGCAGAAGAGCACCCCGGGCCGCCTCCCTGCTCCCTCTCCCAGCCTGGGCCTCCTGGCAACACAGGCCACGGGAGACCCAGCTCCACCCAGGGTAGGAGTGCGTCCCAACCGGACCCAGAGCCCAGGGAACAGGGAAAGACGCACGGCACCCGCAGTCCTGCACTCACCCCCGCAGCAGGCGGCTCCCCGGCGCTGCCGGAAGTGCGTCACCAGGAGGCCCGGCCTCTCTAGGAGCAAGGTCTCTTCTTCTCGGTGTTGCTCTCTCCGGGTCCCCTGTGGCTGCAGCCCGATCGATCCTCCGGTTCGGGTCTGGCCCATGCTGACTGTTAGCCCTGGGTGATGGGGCAGGCAAGAATCAGAACCAAGCGGGGACCCAGCCTGGGAGGTGAAGCTGCAGGTGCAGTCTGGGAGTCTGCGAGTCTGGAACTGGACCCGGGGATGGCGCGCTGTCAAATCCAATGCCCCCTTTTCTAACAAATAGTTTGTGATGTTCATCGTACATAATGGCCTAGAAAATCATACATAACATACACACCTACATATTTAAAACTAATGTTATACGTTAAGTGTTATGAAAGAGAAAAAAAAAGAGGAACGTCATCTGTTGTTTAGAAACACATACTTCAATGTGTTTGGTCATGACTGTTGCAGGAGACCTAACAAGGTGGTCCAATAGTCGCCTTTACACATAGACGCTGCCCGAATGCCACAGCCACAAAGCTGTGACTTATATTGTTTCAAAAATCACAAAACTGATCCAAAACGGCAAACACTTTTTGGCGAAATTCTGAATGAAACACAGAATGATCTTCTCTTGAGTATACAATAATTACATTCCTGGAACATCAGTGTATCTTAAAACTGTGCAAAAATGCATGTGTTTATCCAGAAAACAGGTTTAGATTCTGATAATTTCGAAATAGGATTTTCACCTACCTGAATGTTCAGCAAGACATTTGAAACTGTGAACATTTTTTCAATGGACAAGACTGTCCTTTTCATTGCAGGATCCTGGCTCCCATCCACAACGCTGGTAGAAATGCTATCACCGCCAGCAAATACAACAAAATACCTCCAATAAAATTACAAAATGAGCCCTGGGGGAAGGGAGACAATACTAAAAGCTACTCCACCCCCTCACACACCCCGGAACTCTGGTAATGCAGGCTTTTCTTCCTTCCAGCTCTGATTTATCCAACGCTGCTGCACTAGAGAGTGGTGTTTGCCCCTACTCGCCTCTGTGGACTCTTATGACTCCTATTGATTCCCTGACTCAAGTACAGCCCTACATGCTAAAAATGCTGCTTTCTAGATCTAGAATGCTCTTCCCTTCCCATTCCTATCCTCCATCTTGACTGTTACTGGAAGTGTGAGCACAAATCCCATTTCCCATGGGAAGCAAGCCTTCCCTGATCACTCATAATAAGGCAGGGCACTCATTTATGTGCCACCCCAGCACTGTGTACTCATTTAATGAGGGTAGCTTATTTATATGTCTGTCTTCTCTGGTGGCTCCAAGAAACAGACACCATATCTATCTTGTCCAACATCATCATCCTCAGCTAGAGGATAACCTGGCAGAAAGAAGGAGAGCAATAAACATTTGTTTTTTCCAGCCCTAACTCTTAGGCAGAAGCCTACTTTGTGAATGAGGGTAGGATATGTCTTATGCCTCAGATCATGACAGTGACCATGACCAGGCACCCTTCTCTGCCTTGCTGTGACCTTGGTCTTCACTGTTTTCCAAAATAAGCTCATTAAGAATATGGTCCCCATGATTGGGCAGAGTGATAGCTGGAGATTACATTGCTCTTGTCAGTAAGTTCTGGTTTTCACTTTTTTGTAGGCTCAGAAATCAGGAGTGAAAGCTTGTTGAAAGAAATAGGAAGAAATCAGATCACATCAATGCTGGCCCCAAAGGTTTGCATCATAAACCCATTGCCTAATTTTACAGATAAGAAAATGAAGCTCCCTAAATAACCACAAAACTCCTACTCCTACTTCAGACATATAAGAAAAAAATAGATAATAATGCACAAACCAATTTACAAAAGCTTTATGGTAGGTATGGAGAGATGGAGACCAGTTCATGTCTGTCAACCCCTGTTCTTTCATTTTTATACAGTTACAGAATCTCTAGCAAGGAATGTGACAGCTCAGGGGAAAAGCACACATTTCCCAGAATTCTTTAAAGCAAAGTGTGTCCATGTGACCAATTCTGGCAAATAGGCTATAACAAAATGTGATGCTGAATCCTTAAAGACAAGGGGCATGCCCTCCCTAGCCCCAAATCTTCATTGACCAGGTGGAATGTTGACAAGGGAGAACATCTTGGAGCAATGCAAATAAGGGTATGGCTGCTGGGAATGACAGAGCAGCTAAAAGGAAGAGGCACAGAGCTGCTATATTAGTCCCAGATGGCTTATTTTCTTACGGTACATGAGAGAGAAATAAACTTTCATCAAATTTAAACCACACTTATTTGGTTCTCCAAATTAATTTCCAAGCCCATAGCCTAATTAACACCCCTAGAAATGAGGAAAGATAGAACAATCACACAACACAACAGTTACAAAATTAAGCTGGCTCTTCAACTTCAGCATTCTAGAAGGTCATTTCCTTGCCAGGCCTGCAGCCATGTAGTGTCAGTTTCCTCCTGCTGAGCTCTAAGGCTTCTTCTCCTGCACCCTTTGTCCCTGCAGTCCCAAGACCTCCCTAAAACCCTTCCCCTCTGACCACCAGGGAAAACTGACAATCTTCTCATGATAAAAAATTATTTTTGTTGTTTCCAGTTTTAACAGAGTAAAGATGGTTTGGGCTGCTTCTTCTCATGCACATTGTGGCAAAACAACAGTGTAGTTGGTGTTTATTACAGGAGTTCAAGGCTGTTTTTATGTTATAAAATTTTAATTTACTTATTGATGTTGTGAGTTATATGAAAAAAGTCATTTAATCTATGTGAATAAATGTACTAGAGTAGGGAGAGGTCTTATTCTCAAAGCAACCAAACATATATATGAACGTTTACTAATAAATGCTTAAGACATACATTAAGAAAATTTTAAACACTTGGGGACTAAACCAATGAAAACCAGTTGTGTAAGTGGAAAGGCACAGGTAATTCCTCAATGGGAAGTGTATTGTTCTTTATTTAATTGAAGTCCAATGTTATACCAAATAAAACCCCTACAGAATTTGTTTTAAAACTTGTGAAAATGATTCTAAAACTTGTGTAGAAAAAAATGTTAGATGCAGCCAGGCACAGTGGCTCACATCTATAATCCCAACACTTTGGGAGGCCAAGGTGGGCAGATCACAAGGATGAGTTCAACAGCAGCCTAACCAACATGGTGAAATCTCATCTCTATTAAAACCACAAAAAAATTAGCTGGGTGTGGTGGTGCACGCCTGTAGTCCCAGCTACTCAGAAGGCTGAGGCAGGAGAATTGCTTGAACCTGGGAGACGGAGGTAGCAGTGAGCCAAGATCACACCATTGCACTCCAGCCTGAGTGACAGAGTGAGACTCCATCATAAAAGAAAAAGAAAGTTAAAGAATGGAAAATAGATATATCAGACAAATATTAAGTTAAAGAGAAAATGGCATAGTTATATTAATATCTTACAACAGTGAGTTTAAGACAATAAGTAGTATTCTATTCTATTCAGAATTCTGTTGAGGGCTATGTAGCAAATAATATCAATGAGAATCTCAAAATTTAGAATAAGATATAATATTCAACATCATTTTAAATACTTAGTGCACAGGAAAGTGTATCCAGGTACCAAAACCAAACAAGAAACTAAAACCAGAGGTGTTGGTTTGGCCTGAGGAGCTCAGCTGATGCTTTGGCCAACATGAGTGGGAATGATGAAGAGTTGTAAATCTTGATATCTGAGAAAGCAGATATATATAGGAGGCCGGCATGAAGCAAGGAATAGAAACAGATACTTTTCTCACACACATATACTCATCCAAATTCCTGGACCCATGAGAGAATAAATCTTTTTAAAATCTCATGAACAAAGAGAGATAACAAAGAATCTTATGGTCCTTGCCTAAGCTTTGAAGTGTTAGTAGAAATATCCCCTAAAAATTTATAATCATAGTTTGTATCATTAAGTATAGGGTTTAAATTAATACTACCTACTTTGGCCAGTAACTCATATTACATGAAATTACATTAAAAACTAATCCTGATAGATTTCTGAAATAGTCACAACAGAATTAGTAGGAAATGACATTTAAAAGTTATTACAATCACATCTGATACATCTAAAAGGTTAGTGGAGAAATGAAGGATATAAAAATGACCCAAATCAAACTTCTAAAGATGAAAATTTGTAAGGTGCAATAAAAATACATTGGATGGGATTAACAGCAGATGAGACATTACAGTAAAAAAGATGAGTGAATTTGAAGACAGCAATAGAAACTATTCAAAAAGGAAACACAGAGAAAAAGAAATTGAAAATAAATGTGCAGGATTGAGAAGTCCTGTTTTCTTCACTTACTAGCTATGAGACCTTGGGCAACCACCTAGCTTTTCTGAAATTCCATTAATTCATCTGAAAAATGAATAATGCATAGTTGCTGTAAATACTACACATGCATACAACATAAAGTGCATACAACATAAAGTACATACAACAGGGACCAGGATTCAGTAGTTGCTCAATTAATGTTACTTTTCCCCTCCTCTAACTTATTTGTGAACCTGATTATACCTTTTGTCAATAAGGGAGTTATTAATGCATAAATTTGTAAATATGACATACTATAACTAGGAGAAAGACCTACAGTGCCAAACTCCTTCCAAGTTTTTTGTACATAACCTCACAGAAACTTGCTAACAACAATCAAGTTCAGAAGCTTTTTACCACAGAGAAAGCAGATCCAATCCATTGTATATTTCTGAAAGGAGGTTAACAGGTGGGGGTTAGCAAGTGAAAAGAGGGTATGAAAAAGAATCAAGGAGCCTGTCTCCAAATGAATACAATATACCTTATTTCTCACATGCATTGCCTGATAGTTTGCTTATATGTGCCTAGGAAGAGCCCTGACCATTCTTCCTTAGGTAATACAACAAGTTAGTACACATTTTCCCCTAACTTGAAGGATGTTGGCCTCCAGAATAACACAACTATACTAGCTACCAATCCCATAGAGCTCCCAAGGGAGTCAGTCCAATTATCAGCTTTGATGCTGAAGTTCCTAGAAAGAAGAGAATCCCAACCCCCACCTTGTTGTAAAGAACCTTCTAAAGGGCTGCTGACTTTAGAGGATTACAATTTCCAGGTACACAGGAGTCGGAAGTCCCAGGAAATTAACAGTGACCACTGCAACGTGTGTTGATATCATCCAGGTACAAGGGATGGCAGTAGAAAACAACGAAGCTGTGGTGCTGTCCAAGGTGCTAGTTCCAACTCGTGTCTGTGGAGCTCTCCAAGGTTCTGGGGCTGCCTCGAAACCATCGTCCTCCAACCTTGTGCTACTCCCCTCTGTGAGCGGTGGTTCACACCTGTAATTCCAGCACTTTGGGAGGCCAAAAGCACAGGGGGGCAGATCACCTGAGGTCGAGAGTTCGAGACCCACCTGACCAACAAGGAGAAACCCCGTCTCTACTAAAAATAAAATTAGCTGGGGTATGGTGGCACGTGCCTCTAATCCCAGCTACTTGGGAGACTGAGGCAGGAGAATCGCTTGAACTCAGGAGGCGGAGGTTGCAGTGAGCCAAGAGTATGCCATTGCACTCCAGCCTGGGCAACAGAGCGAAACTCCATCTCAAAAAAAAAAAGCAAGGTGTGTTTAGGAGATAATATCAAGGGACATTTCGTTACCTCCATTTTAACTGGGAGGTAAGGAAAGGCTTGAGGAAGTGACCTTGGACTGAGACTTGAGAAATATGAGTGAGATATCTGGGCACATAATCAAAGAGAGAACATTCCAAGCAGGAGGAATAACATTTGTAGGCCCTTCTGTGGAAAAAAAGAAAGCTTGACACATCATGGGTAGAGAAGAGGGAGGAAGTGCAGTCATTAGAGCTTTGCAGCCCATGTTAAAGAGCTTAGATTTTATTTCAAGGTCAATGGAAACATATTGAAATTTTTCAAGAGAAGCATGTTATGTTTTATATTTTTAAAAGCACACTCTGGCTGCTGATTGGCAGATAGATTAGAAAGATTCAAGAGCAGAAGTGGGAAGACTACTTAAGGAGCAATTGTGGTAGTCTGGGAAACAAATGTTCGTGGCTCAGAACAGGGTGGTAGCAGCCAGAACTGGAGAAAGGCTCCATGTTGCTCATCAGTAACCTGCTCTATCATCATGTGCTATCAGCTAGCATGTTGCTTAGCACACAGAAGTCACTAAATAAATATTTGTTGCCAGGCATAGTGACCCATGCCTGTAATTCCAGCACTTTGGGAGGCCAACGTGGGATGATTGCTTGACCTCAGTTCTAGGCAAGCCTGGGCAACATAGTAAAACTCTGTCTCTACAGAAAATATAAAAATTAGCTGGGTGTGGTGGCACATGCCTGTAGTCCCAGCTACTAGGGAGGCTAAGGTATGAGAATCACTTGAGACTGGGAGGTCAAGGCTGCAGTGAGCCACGATCATGCCACTGCACTCCAGCCTAGGTGGAAGAGCAAGATCCTGTCTCCAAAAAAATTTTGAGTAATTAATAAAATCATTTATTGTATGTGGCACACTTCTAAGGACTCTTTCATTTGCATGACCCCAAGTGCTCAGTTTAGTTGATAATCTGAGGGACATGCCTTGCCAGCTCCTCCTCACAGGCTGATCACTGTGATATTTACCATGTTTTAGCTCCTGAATACACAGAACTAGTTACACAAATAACTTAGTCTATTTAAAATTATGCACATTACTGATACACAGAAAAACATTGTGCCCCACAGCACAGTTTCTCTGAGAGGAAGCTTCTTTGAAGCAGAAATCAGAAATGTGCAGCCACCACTGAAAACAGAATGGGATTCCATCACAGAAATGCTTATTGGGGCCATCCTCTAACATCTAAAAGATTCCAGTTGAGTAGACTACTCATATTCACTACTGGAATATAAGACACATTCTCATTGCCTGAAGGTTCTGTCTTCCTCTCTTTAGTTTGGGTTCCCATGAAGGCAGGGCTTGAGACAAGGACTCGAATGCCCATTTATTCAGGAGATGATCCCAGGAAGCAGGACTGAAAGAACCCTGTGAGTGAGACAGAATAGGAGGAAATTACAATATAAAGTGTTGTAAAGGTTGATGCTATCAGCACTGGGAGCTCCAGAAAAGAGTAAAAAATTCCTCCTCTAATTGTCCATTTGAAAGATGAGAGACTGGAACCTTAATCCTCAAGCTCTTGTCTAGCATTATTAAGGGTTTTTCTGGGATTGCTAACTTGCCCTGTGTATTCCCAGGCTGTGCTTCCTAGTCAAGTGAGCTCTTGAAAAGCGCCTGAGGCAGAATGTCAAAAGGCATGCGGAGTGTCTGAGCAGTGCAAGGGAGCTCTAAGTTAACATACAACTGTTCACCACAGCTACAGCGAAAGCCAGAGGTGTGCCAAAGTGATGTGAGTGCATTTCAGAGGCATCTGCTGTATCCTCCCATCAATGTGCTGGATTTCACTGTTCCCAACCTGTAAACTGGGGATAAATATAACACCTATCCTAGAGTTATTACACATATTTAAATTCAAAGAGCACAGCCAGCTGTACACCAAAGTTTTTTTGTTATCCGAAGTTTTTAGACATGTAGAATTCAATGGCAGTCATACACCATGGCAAAGGCTGCTAGTTACCCACTCAAACATTTGCTCTCCTTCCTCCTCCTAAACAAACTGTGAAGTCATTTGATGTAGCACACTGCCACTCAACTAGAGGATATAGTGTCCTTGGCAGCCAGGTATAGTCATGTGACTAAGTTCTTGACACAAACATTTAACTGGAAGTGCTCTGCAGTACTTACAGAGTCTTCTTTAAGGCAAAGTAGAATGCTCTTCTTCCTCTTCCTCTACTGTCCAGAACAAGCTCTTGGTAGTTGGAGTTCTAGGAGCCACCTTGGACATGAAGAAAATGGCCCCATTAAGGATGGCCAAGTGGTAATTTGGAAGGAGATTGGGTCCCCACTGACATTATACAACTGCCTTAGCTGCCTTGGGCTATCTCCAGACTCCTGAGACAAATTCTATCTTGTATTAAGGTGTCTTGTTTGGGGGGTTTTCTACAGATGAAGCTCAGTGACGGTGGTGAGCTGAATAATAGCCATCCATACCAGGTCCTCATTCCTGGAACCTATGAATGTTGCCTTAAATGGCAAAGTTCTTGTAGGTGTGACTAAATTAAAGGTCCTAAGATAAGGAATTATCCTGGACTATCTGGGTGGGTCCTAAATGCCATCACAAATGCCCTCATGAGAGAGAGGCCAGGGAGATTGGACAGAGAAGGTGATATGAAGAGAGCAGAGGCTGGAGTGATGTTGCTACTAGGGAATGCTGGCAGTCACCAACAGCTTAAAGAAAGACCAGGTTCCACCCTAGAGCCTTCTGAGGGAGTGTGGCTTTGCTGACAAACCATTTCTGCCCAGGGAAACTGTTTTCAGATTTCTAGCCTCTAGAACTGTGAGAACAGATTTCTGTTGTTAAGAAGCCAAAGAAAACTAATACATTAATCATAACTGATTCAGGGACAGTTACTCAATTAGAGGGGGCTTCCTGACAGTGGCACTGGGGTAAGGGCAGAGGGAGCTAACTACTCAGTAGTGAAGTCCTGAAGAAAGGAAACAAACCTCACTCAGCTATCCCTACACCTCAAAGCTGACGTGAGGGAGTCTCACTTGGACCTCAGTGGAGCCAGATCTCTGGTTCAGGTACATGACATGAAGACACCCATTTTCAGACGGTGTTGAGAGATACAAAGCCAATTAAGTAGGGAACCAGATCCTCTGCATACTGGAGGCATGCTACCTCCTTCAATACAGCTCTGCTGGGACAGTCTGTACTGGACATGTCTTATGATTCCATCTCAACCTATAGTTTCCTCTCTGATGCCAATTTCCCACCTCCCATTGTGTGAAGCCAAGCACAGCCTCCCCAACTTGACTTGATCCTAATATTCTCCTCCACCCCAAAGGAGCATATCGGTTTCTTCCAACAGTCTCTTGTTACCAAGACACAGCGTCACATACTTTACATACAACCTCTATAGGGCCATAGCGTGCAACAGTTAGAACACAAGTTCTGAAACCAGACAGCCTGGGTTTGAATACCTACTCCACTACTGCATCCTTGGGCAACCTAATTAATGATTCCTCAACTGTAATATGGAGCTAATTATAGCATGCTCTTCATAAAGTGATCATACTGAGTAAATGTGTGATTAGTGTGTCATATGTTAAGTGCCAAAAAAATGTACTGCTGTTATCATTTACTACAGGGTAGCTGGGCTGATGCAGCACCATTTGAAGCAGCCCCTGACCACCATTACTTTAAACAGTTTTTTTTCTGGGTGGCTTTTAGATTTTCTGCCTCCAAAATGATCCCCCTTGAAATAACCCAAATGCCCACCAACAGTAAGCAATAAATTGTGGTATATTCATGTAATGAAATACTACATAGCAATGAGAATGAATCTGTACTGATTATTCCATTGACACAAAAGAACAAAATAATTTCTGGTGACAGAAGTCAGGGTAGAGGTTCCATAAGAACCGTAATAAGGTACAGGGAGACTCGCAAGGTACTATGTTCTATTTCTTTATCTTGGTGATTATAAGGCTATGTTCTTTGAAAAAACTCAAGTTGTACAACCATGACTCACGGTTTTTTTGTTTTTTTAGAGGGAGTCTCGCTCTTTCACCAGGCTGGAGTGCAGTGATGCAATCTCAGCTCACTGCAACCTCCACCTCCGGGGTTCAAGTGATCCTCCTGCCTCAGCCTCTCAAGTAGCTGGGACTACAGGCGTGCGCCACCACACCCAGCTAATTTTTGTATTTTTAGTAGAGACAGGGTTTCACCACGTTGGCCAGGATGGTCTCAATCTCTTGACCTTGTTAATTGCCCGCCTCAGCCTCCCAAAATGCTAGGATTACAGGCGTGAGCTGCTGCGCCCAGCCAACTCATGCATTTTTATGTTTGTGCTAGATTTCAATTAAAAAGCATTTACTTAATTCCCCAAGTCTGTCATTCATTGTTCAACCAAAGCACAGGATACAACTGCTCATTCATCTGCTGGCAAGTATGAAAGAGGTGGTGAAGCCACCCAATTGTTAGACTCAGTAAGCCATTAAGTCTGAAATTGGGTAAAAAGATTCCAACACTGGCTGGCAGCAGGAGGGCACATGGGAGAAAAAGAAGTGTGCAGATTATGATTATCTCCAAAGAAAAGGGCCAGCTCTGTTTTCCTAGTGAGATATCTCTACAGTGTCTTATGACTAAGAACCATAGCATTTCCTTGGCTCCCTAGCCAGGTCAAAGGCCAAAGCGAGCATGCTGTCCTAGGAATTAAAATGGCAAATGCCAAGCTACAATAGCTACAATAGCCTGGCATTTCCCAGTTTAATGCCTAGAGTAGCATTCATTCCAAATAAAAAACTGAATAAGCAGAAAATAAAAGCTTTAAGAGTGAAAGCCTTTAGTTTCCTAGTTAAGACTTTCCTTGAGAACAGATTCACCGGTGCAGATATAATTTTGTTATATGAGATTTTTGTTACAGAGCTCAAGTTGTTAGAACTTCTATTTACTTGTGGTGTCTAATACAACCTGGGCTCTCCAGTGTCACAGTGGGCTTCTCAATCTCATTACAATTACGGGGTTTAGGAGCCGCCATGGCTATTACTAAAGACTTTCCTACGTAACACATGCACAAAACATTTCTCCATCCGTTCGGGTATGTTATTCCTGAAGCCTTTTCAAATAAGTCTTCAGGGATAACGTGTTGAAGACTAACAACACCGTTTAAATCAAAATTCTGTTCCAAGGGAAGAACAGTCAACTCGAATGTGCCAAAGCCAAAAACGGCCAAACAAAAATGGAATTTATTGGCTACTGCAATTCAAAACCCATTTGTATTTTTTGGTTCAGTCATGGTCTGATGTGGCTGTTCAAACACTACCTTCAGTCCTTAACTGCTCTCCAATTCTCAGATGCCTTTTTTACTGTGTTGACTTCATTCTCAGCCTCTGTGAGAATCTAGTTCTTCTCAGCGTTAAAACCAATTGGGGTGGGGAAGGAGAGTATTTCTTCTGATTAGCTCTTGCAGTCCTGGAACTCTAATTAGAATATCTTTGGTCATATACTAACATGTGAATCAGTAAATGTGGCTTGAGGGATAATCAGAGGCTGAGCCAGGCCTGTGTCACACATTCCATTCCTGAGTAGAAGACAGAATCCACAAAGTACATTTCACTGGAGTGTACTATTACCAGTAAAAGGGGGTAAAAAATTCCGGGAGGCCAAAACGACAAACATCCAGCACAGGCTTCTCTCCAGAGTGCACATGCTCAAGATAACCTAGCTGGGAAGAAGTCCTAAAGGCCTTCTCATACTTGCTACACCCATAGGGTTTCTCTCCAGTATGGATTCTTTGATGCTGATGAAGGTTTCTTTTGCTAGTGAAGGTTTTTCCACACTCATCACATACATAGGAAGATTCCTGAATATGAATTCTCAGATGCCTTTTTAATTGTCCCTGGGCACTGAAGGCTTTTCCACAATCTACACAGTCAAAGGACTTCTCCTCACTGTGAATTCTCTGGTGCCGAGTTAGTTTTGTATGACAACTGAAGGCTTGTCTACATACTTTACAAGAATAAGGCTTTTCCCCTGTGTGAATATGCTGATGTTGGCTTAGATGGGAAATCCTTCCAAAGCTTTTGCCACACTCATTACACTCATAGGGTTTCTTTCCAGTGTGGATTTTCTGATGCCGAAGTAGGGGTGAATTGCCAACAAAAGCTTTGCCACACTCGTTACACTCATAGGGTTTCTCCCCAGTGTGGATTCTATGATGTATAACAAACTCAGAACTACTGGTAAAACTATTTCCACACTCTATACAGTAATAGGGTCTGTCCCCACTGTGGATTCTCTGATGCCTGATCAGATTTGCATTATCATTAAAGGCTCGCCCACACTTCTCACACTGATAGGGTTTCTCTCCAGTGTGAATCCTCTGGTGCCGAATTAATGAAGAATTGCCATTAAAGGCTTTTCCACACTCTTTACACACAAAGGGTTTCTCCCTAGAATGGATTCTATGGTGTCTAAGATAGTAAGAAAAATAGCTGAAGGATTTCCCACACTCCTCACATATGAAAGGTTTCCTTGCACAGTGGATTCTTGGAAACTTTCCTCGGATGTTTTTTACTGTGGGGATGTCCTGGTACTTCTCCACATCACATGTTTCTGGGAAGTCAGTTCTCTGAGGGACACTCTTCAGCTGCCCATGTGACATCATCCCATCTCTTTCTTCAGAAATGTTCTGGGTTAATGTGGACTCGCTGTCAGTGTTGGTCTCAGCATCTGACGTTAACAGAGAGAAAACACAAACAATGCCACCTGAAAACTATACTAGATAGAGCACTGAAAATTACAAGGCTTTAAAACAGATCATTTCAACTTTCACATCAGTACCTGGAACTCATCTGCAGGTTAATCAAGTTCATCCTATGAGTGTGAGTTAAAGGAGTAAGGGAACTCCAAAGGAGAATGCTGGGAGAGGAGTAATCTGAGATGGAAGTAAAGGTGGTAACCAAGAGTCTGAAAAAGAATCATCACCAGAGAAAGGAGTGTGAGAACAGACCACCACGTTCTCAATTGTCTTGATGATTCTTTTTCAGATTCTTAGAATAAGAGACTGAAGTGCTGCCCCAGCTTTATCACTTTCCATTTACTTATTCTCTGCAGACCAACTGCACCGAAACGCCTGTCTCTGCCTTCAACCTCACTATTTGCTCCTGGTGGCACCCATCTGACCACTTGACTGTCTACTTTCTCTTCCTTCTCTCACTGAAATTAAATATACCTTAATGGTTAAGATTCAGCCCTCCTTTTTTTCTCCCTGGGGGTCATTTCAGCCCAGCTGTGTTAAAGTACCCTTTCAGACCTGCCTTTTATCTCAGACTCTCCACCCACCTTCTCAATGGCCTGCTCTAGTCATCCACTTGCCTATTCTAAAGGAACCTCCCATCCTGTGCTCAGTTCTGAATTCCTTTGAATTAAAAAAAAAAAACTCCTCTCATGCCCTGACTTCCCAGTGTTATCTGACTCAGCTCTCCCCGTTTATGGCCAACCTTTGGGAAGACCTGGTCCATTTTACCTTCACATTGTCTATCCTATTCCTAATAGCACTTAAAACTTTTCTTTTTAGCTTTTTACATCTGTCTCCATAACTTGTATCTTCCAGAACTTCTTAAACAAAGTTCAGTACATAGCAAGTTCCTCAAAAACTGCTCCTGAATAAATCCATCCCAACCAAGGAAGACCACTGAGGTAGGCAATGTTGCAGCTAGGAAAGGGGCAACGGATTCAAGGATTGTTGACGAGACGTACTGAGTGGTTAAAAGTTAGTAAGAGTTAAGATTGGTGGGAAAGGTTTCATATTTTAGCTATTAGGTGAAATCATCTATTATATTTAAATCCTGCCCAGCATGGTTCACTTTTAAATACAGTGCTCCATAAAACTCTATAGTTGTTGGTTCTAAACCTGCCTCACCTACCTTTACAGATGTTTTTGGTCCCCTCTGCCAGGGGATCATCCTGTGCTTCCAGGCCCCAAGCCATGTCCCCTCCCTCGAGGAGTGAGATCAGTGCAGGTTTGGGAACTAGGTACCCTGAAAAGAGGAAGAAAATGGTACTTTTCAGCCCTGTATCTGGTGTTTCAAAAGAAGGAAAACCCTAGGAGTCTCAGTAAGAATAAGACCCAGAGAACAAGAGTTCTTGACTGGGGAATGCCAAAGAGATTCTGATCAAGAGGAAACTGAGCATTTGTGACTTCTTCCTAAAAAACAATCAAGAAACATTAAGTTAGTGAGATCTGCAAGGCATGAGCAAACACAGGGAAGAAGTCACATTCTTGCCCAGACAACAAACACTACTTATTCCTTTCTGGGCAGAGCCCCTTGGAAGAAAAATCATACTCCTACCAGGGGACAGTAATTCCCTACACTGGGAGACCAAAGTGACTCAAGACCTCTCCCTACCCAGCAATCTTTGAAGTTGGTCACTGAGCCTCAGCCCTGTAGTCTCTCAGTGGAGGACACAAGAGTCAACTTCTCCTCTCCACACCACACCCATCACCCAGTCTGTAAAAGAAGGAAGAAAACTGAAAAGTACAGATCTGAGTCCTAGGAGGAAAATGGTCTTACCCATAGCAGTCAGGTTCCCATAATTCTCCAACATCACACTTCTGTACAGGGCCCTCTGAGCAGGAGAAAGGCCAGTCCATTCTGTCTTAGTGAAGTGCACAGCCACATCCTCGAAGGTCACCGTCTCCTAAAACAACAGGTTCCTGCTACCCCAGAGCCAATCCTCTGGCTACGGGCCAGAATATGGGGCAGAGAGGGCAGGTAGGGAGTTGAGGGAAGGTCCTGTGAGGGATGCGTAATGAGAAAAGGTGAAAAGAACTGGATGTTAGACCACTATATGACTATTTCTACAAGCAAAAATCTGGAACTTCTCTCACCAGCAGAAGAGCTTCCATTAGGATACAAAATTTACTGTCATAAAATGTGATTTAACATTTTTATACCCTAAGAAAAAAGTTTCTTATTAGTTAACCTTCCTATGGCAAAATCTTTGATTTAGTAAATATTTTCAGTTTTTTGGTGTTGCACCTACAAGTGAACAATTTGCTTCAAATGGTATCTCAGGACTTATGCGTTCCTATTAGATACTCCCTACTCTCAGCCAATCCATCTCTTCCCCACATGTGCTCACCCTGCCCCAATCCTTATGCCCATGAAACAAGAACAGAATCATGGTTTGCACTGATTGGCCTGTCTCATTCAACTCCCATATGATTCTTGATAAAGGGCTGTGCTGCCTGTGCCCAACAGCATCCTGCAGAGGGAGCTGAGCGTCTCCTGGTACAATCCATGCTGCTCCTTGATGGGTTTTCCCAGAAAATGATGCTTCTAGAATTAAATGGCTGCTGCTGGGTAGCTCTTTCAGCTCCTTATCTTTATACCTCAAGACAATCTGTAATAGCTTCTGCCAACCAAGATTCATGCATCTTGGGGTTTCAGTTTTAGTTTTTGTTATTTTTCTCCTTTTTTGTTTTTTGTTCTTTTTTGACAGTGTCTTGCTCTGTCACCCAGGTTGGAGTGCCGTGGCACAATCTCAGCTCACCTCTGGCTCAGATGAGACTCCCACCTCAACCTCCTGAGTAGCTGGAACTGTAGGTGCACACCACCATGCCTGGCTACTGTTTGTATTTTCTGTAGAGACACGATTTTGCCATCTTCCTCAGGCTGGTCTTGAACTCCTGGGCTCAAGGGTTCCGTCTGCGTCAGCCTCCCAAAGTGTAATCCCAAAGTGCCGGGATTACAGGTATGAGCCACCATGCCCAGTGCCTCATGCTTTTTCAATAGATACTCTTTTCCCTCCCTGCTGGCCTCAACTCTACCTTTCCACAAAGTCCTGGCATCTGGTTTAGAGCCTCTAGCCACTCCTCAGATGTGGGTATTAAACTTCATTACCAGGGTGCTCAGGGAATATACTCCCACCTTCCAATGCCTCAACTGATTTTGCACATCTCCACATCCCCCTCACCCCAGCACTGCCTCAGACTCTCTGGATGACCCAATACACTGGCTCATCATGCAACACCAAACTTATCTTCCCCCAAATGGCTCCCATTCTAATTTATATAAACTAAGTGGCATAGTGAGTGACAGTATTTTTCCCTCTCTGTTAATAACACCAATTTCAGCCCACTCTCTAATGCTGGAACTTGAGATTAATCCTAGACATTCAAAGCCCCATCATCACTAACTGCTGATAGTTAATACTCAAGTCCTGCCAATTTTATCACCTACATATTTCTGGAATCTGACTCTTCCTCACCATGGTACAATCAGCATACTAGGTCAACAGCTGGGGACACTTTAGCTCCACTTCCAGGCTGGTCCCACAGTGAATCTATCCTCTGCCCAGCTGACAGCCTGACCCCATCAACTCCTGAAGGAACCTCTTGAATGAATCGCCACAAACTAGAACAGTGGTATTCAGGGTATGGTCTCAGCCTCCCAAGTAGCTGGGATTATAGGCATGTGCCACCACACCTGGTGCATTTTTGTAAATTTAGTAGACACAGGGTTTCATCATGTTGCCCAAGCTAGTCTCAAATTCCTGGCTTCAAATGATCCACCCACCTCGGCCTCCCAAAGTGCTGAGATTACAGGCATGAGCCACCGCACCCAGCCAAGTCATGCTTTTAATAACTACACTAAATTCTTTCCAACAGTAATCCTAACAGAAATGCTTTTAGAACTTGGCAAAATGATTTTAAGGTTAATATAAAAGAATAGACAAGAATGGCCAAGAAAAATCAAGTAGTCTTCCTTTACTCGGATCTGGGGCAGGCATCTTTTTTGTTCATTGCCCCATTCAAGGGCCCAGTGATAACCAGAAACTGACTACCCAAAAGATTCTGAAGGGCCACCTCAACACACTAAAACACTGGGTTTATAGTTTTTACTATATCATTCCCTATGGACACTTTATATTCTTGTAGCTGGTGCATCACTTGGGAACTTGTTAGGCAAATTCTTGGGCCCCATTGTGAGAGCAGTCCTCACTGCAGTGAGTCTTCCAGGTAATTCAGATGTACACTGAAGTTTGAGAACCCTGTATTGGAGGATAAAATCCACACTCAGGAAAATGAGGTGTATCAGTTGACAAGGTAATGGGAAGGTACACAACTATACATAGAGAATCTATCTAGGAAGCTCTGCAAACAAAATCCCAGAGAAGGAATGACAAACTCTCAATGTAATAGAAAAGATGGCCCAAGTGAAAGAGGGAGAAGAAAAAACAAGACTTCGTGTCTCTGTAGAAATGGTATTTGGAAGAACACAGTCAATGATTACACAGCAATTTAGAAACTGATTAATCAGGACTACAATATAGTGTGATGTCAGAGACTTGTGGAAAAACCAGAAGAGGGTAGGAACTCCAAGGAAGCTGATGTATCAGTGAGACAGTCACATAGAGATAACTGAAGGATGTGAGAAATACGAGATTGGGACTTGGGATATGGTTAATGGGTACTAAGTTACTAGATAAATAAGTGCCAGGAGGAAAGAAATGACCAAGCATCAACTCCGGCTCAAAAAGTTAAATATAATTCAGGAAATCAAGTCCCCTGTCCCATAAATGTAATGTACTTATGTGCATTTACAAATGAATCCAGTTAAGATGCAAAGCAGTCAATGACTTGCTCAAGGCTACCACGCTTCTGAGGCCTAATGAAATCCCTAACTCCAGGTGTCCTGTCCTAGTGTAGACTTTCTGATCACAGCCCACTGCCTCGCTTAGGCAGCAGTAGTGACCTCAAGGATATATGTTACCTGATTCTGAAGCCCAAACTTCCTTCTTTGTTTTGGAGGACAAATGAGATAGGCCCCCTTTCTTGTCTTCTTCCTGCTGTCCCTCCCCTCCTACTTTCCAAGAACCTTGTGCCCTTGCTGATCTTGATCACTTCCATCCTGTCCTCGATCCCTACGTCACCAGCCTGGGTCCCTCATTCTCAGAATTCCCTCTGCAGGAGGACAGCTACTGAACCTGGGGATTCTCCAGCCCAGGAGAAATTCTCAGTATTCAGGAGGCTGTACTTCGGCTTTCCAGGTAACTCTCTCCTGTTTCCATCTTCACTGGCCCTAGCTCTTTCCCCAGCACCCAGTCCTACCTCTTTCCCCAGCACCCAGTTGAGGGAATCAACAGGGGTCTTCTTATTGTTTTGGCTTTAAGACTTGCCAGGATCACTGTTATCTACCGACTCCCACCCCTCACTACTTTCAAATCAGAATTCCATAAAGCTGACCTCAGGGATCCACAGCTCACCTGGCATTGAGCTTTCAGAGGTATGGCTGCCATCACCTGGACTCCCTCTTAGGAGGCAAAGGCTGAGGGAAGAAACAAAGAGAACCAACAGTGAGCTCAGCCCAGTAAAAGGCTTTCTTTAATACAATAAATTTGCCAATAACAAGCAGCAATTACTTACTAAATGCTCACTGGATAAGTGGTGTATACATACGTACTTTTTAGTCCACACCATACCATGAGGCTTTTAATTCTGAGGAAACAGATTTTGAAAGAATAAATAACTTATCCTAGGACACCAGAGCCTGTCCTCACCAATACCAAGCTAAATGAAGAGCAAAACAAGCAAAAGACACCAGTAAACTCAGAGCAAAACTTAACAAGAGGAATCCCAAACCTTTATTTTTAAATATCAATTTTACTGAGAACATAAAAGTTTAAAAAATAGGAAGTGTCATGTTTTTGGGTGGAAAATGCTATTATTTAGTCCTCACAACAATTTTTCAAACGTTTAATTTTTCCCAAATGAGAAGGCTAAGAGAAAAATTTCTTCTACCAAGACACTCAGCCAGCGAATGGATGACTTAGATCCCACACTAGATCTGCCCGGCTTCAAAGGTCATGTTTTAGTTTTTTTGTTTTTTGAGACAGAGTCTACCTCTGTCACCTGGGCTAGAGTGCAGTGGCACAATCGCAGCTCACTGCAACCACTGCCTCCCAGGTTCAAGCAATTCTCCTACCTCAGCCTCCCAAGTAGCTGGGATTATAGGCATGCATCACCACACCTGGCACATTTTCATAAAGTTAGTAGAGACGGGGTTTCATCATGTTGTCCAGGCTAAGTCTCAAACTCCTGGCCTCAAGTGATCCACCCACACTGGCATCCCAAAGTGCTTGGGATTACAGGCATGATCCACCGCACCTGGCCAAGTCATGCTTTTAATAACTACACTAAATTCGTTCCAATAGTAATCCTAACATGAATGCTTTTAGAACTTGGCAAAATGATTTAAGGTTAATATAAAAGAATAAACAAGTATTGGCCAAGAAAATTCATGAAAAAGTCCCAGAGTAAGTCTTCCTTTTCTTGGACCTGGGGCATGCATCTTTTTAGTTCACTGCCCCATTCAAGGGCCCGGTAATAACCAGAAACTAACTACCAAAGGATCCTGAAGGGCCACTTCAACACACTAAAACATCTGGATTATTGGTTTAACTATATCATCCCCTACAGACACTTTGTATTCTTTTTAAACAGCAATATTCTATAAAAAGCCAGCATCTTCCCTACAGGGACTTGATGCATGATGCAGTTTTCTGCCAGCCTCATCTTGTGCCACCTTTCTCTTTTCTCTGAGTTTAGCTACAATGGCCACCTTTCAGTTTCCTCTATGCTAACTCAGGACCTTCATACCTACTGTTTGTTCTGTATGAACTACTCTTCTCCAACCTCAGAACCACTGTAACTGAGATTCTCTACCTGTCATACTCTCCAGTAATATAGCCACCCTTCACCTTCAGATCATGATCTGTCTCTACAGGCCACGTCTGGTGTCCCTATTAAGCACTCCACTCATACCATATTCCTTTTCCTATATACCACTTATCCCAGTTTGAAATTATACACTGGTTTGTGCTTTCTTCATTCAACAAACATTTATCACATACCTATTTCATGCCTGGTCACATGTGACACAAGAGATGAAGTAGAGAGAGAAGGGGCACGATCCTGTCCCTTGAGGAGCTTTGTCTAAAGGAAAAACATACATTAACCAAGACTTTGTCTAAAGGAAAAACATACATTAACCAAGACTTTCTCAAATAATTTTTTTTTTTTTTAGACGGAGTTTCACTCTTGTTACCCAGGCTGGAGTGCAATGGCACGATCTCGGCTCACCTCAACCGCTGCCTCCTGGGTTCAAGCAATTCTCCTGCCTCAGTCTCCCGAGTAGCTGGGACTACAGGCATGTGCCACCATGCCCAGCTAACTTTTGTATTTTTAGTAGAGACAGGGTTTCACCATGTTGACCAGGATGGTCTTGATCTCTTGACCTCGTGATCCACAGCCTCCCAAAGTGCTGAGATTATAGGCGTGAGCCACCGCGCCCAGCCTCAAATAACTTTTAAGTTCACAACTTTGATCACTGCCAGGGGAAACTAACCTTGATGGGAAAGCTTAAGAATATAAATTAACTAAGGTATAAAGGAAATCTTTACAAAAGTAGCAGCATATGCAAAAGCTATGTTCTAGTAGTGAATCGTCAAGAAGACTGTGGTAGCACAGTCAAGGGGGAGTGTGCTCCTAGATGATGCTGAATAAGTCACAAGGGACAAAACCATGCTTTGTGCAGGTCAAGAACTTGGTCTTCGATCTACATGCACTAAGTCACGGGCAGGTGGAGTGAAATGACCAGAGGTGATTGATACATGCCTTTCCCATTGGGCTGAAAGCTCCCTGGGGGCGGAGCCCACGCCCTGTCAGATTGATGGCTGCATCTCCGGAATCTAGAGCAGCAAGTGGCACTTAGTTGCTCAGTAAGCAGCTGTGGCCCAATATGCAGATGAGGTCTCGGCTGTGTCAAGAGCACAAGCGTCCTTTCCATCCAGCCGCCTATATCCACAGTCTCCATTACCCAAGGTTCCGACGCGGGCGTTGGGGAGCGAAGGCACCCAAGGGAGAGCGTGACGGGTCCGCGAGCAGCCTTCGCTCCCCGGACCCGGAGGGGCCACCCTGACTCCCTCCACTGCGGCAGCAGGGACGAAGCTGACAGCCTTCTCTACAGCTGAAGTGCCTGCGCCTAGCAACGACTCCTGGGCGACAAACCACAACACTCACCTTGGGAAAAACGGAAAATGCTACGTCAACGGAAGTGTGTCATTACGTCGGCCTTGCGCCCAGCATCGCGAGCTTCCTCTCTAGGATGCCGGAGCGCTCTTCTCAGTGGTTCTACTCCCAGGAGGAGGTTAACCCCGAGGGATCCTTAGAGACCTTGAGTAGGAAATAAAGTATATCATTGTTTTCGCTAATCCCTAACCGAAATTTAGCATTTTCTTCTGTTATATGTTGGCAACAAACTACAGTAGTATCAGCTATACCTGTGACTGTCACCGATAGAAATCACAGATATTTTCATATCACATTACAATTTATGCAGCTCTCAGAATACCGCTATTCTCGTCACCAGTTTGAAATTATCCTTGTTGTTATTTGGGCCCACCTTTAAGTCTCATTATTTCATTTCATCACGTTGGGAAAGATGCAGTTATATTTCTGTATCACAAATTCTAAAAAACTTTTAATTGTATTTTAATTGGTTTTGAAAGTGTCATCAGATTGCCAAAGGGTCATTGGACAAAAAAAGCTATCCTCCTTAGAGGTAAACACTCAGACACATTAAGAAAGAGCAGGTCTGAGGAGGGATATATTAAGTAACTATTTAGGAAGTGAAAATGGTGAACATTTTAAAAAATAATTGAATATGAGGCAGCTAGAGCATCTATGATAGCCAGGAATTTTGGATGATCTAACAGCTGAGATCAGGTATTGAAGAAGAGGAGCTGGTTTCAGAAAAGAAGGTGAAATAATTTAGTTTTAGAAACACTGAACACTCACACATACCGCTTTATTAACATTTAATTCACACACCATGCTATTCATCCATGTAGAGTATAAACGTAAATAGGTTTTAGTGTGTTCACAGACTTGTGCAAGCATCACCACAGTCAATTTCAGGACATTGTCATCTCCCCAAAGGATATCTCATAACCATCAGCAGCCACTCTCCTTTTCCCTGTGGTAAGCAAAATAGTGTTTTTTCCCCTCAAAGATGTCTATGTCCCGATCTCTAGAATCTGTGAGTATGTTAGGTTACATGACAAAGGGAAAATGAGGTTGCAGGTGGAATTAAGATTGCTAGTCAGATGACTTTAAGATTACCTTGGGTCTGGGAGCAGTGGTTCACATCTGTAATCCCAGCACTGTGGGATGCCCAAGTGGGCAAATCATTTGAGCCTGGGAGTTTGGACAAGCCTGGGCAACATGACAAAACCCTGTCTCTACCAAAAAATATCCCAAAAAGGAACAAAAATTGGCCAGGTGTGGGCACAGGCCCATAGTCCCAGCTACTAGCTGAGTTGGGAGGATCACTTGGGCCTGGGAGATCAAGGCTACAGTGAGTCTGGATTGAGCGACTGCACTTCGGCCTGGGCAACAAAGTGAGACCCTGTCTTAGAGGAGGGTGGGGAAGGTTAACATGGGGAGAAATGCCAGATATAGTATGCATCTAAAGTAAAATAAATAAATTTTTTAAATTATCATCTTGGATTATTCAGATGGGCCCAGTGTCATCATAAGAGTTCTTGAACATGCAAGAGGGAATTGAAAGAGAATCACAGAGATGAGTGCACAAAAAGGACTTAGCCCAACTTCACTGGCTTTGAAAATGGAAGAAGAGGCCAAGGGTCAAGGACAGTGAGTGGCCTCCAGAGAATAAAAAAGGCAAGGAAACAGATTCTTTCCTTAGTCTAAATCCTGAATTTATATAAATGAGACCCACTTTGGATTTCTGACCTCCAAAACTGTAAGATAAATTAGTGTTGTTTTAAGCCACTACTCACGGTAATTTGTTGCAGCAGCAATAGAAAATTAATACACATAGAAGTATACACCCTCTCTTCTTCCCCCAATTCTAGACAACCACTTTCTTACTTTATAGATTTGCTTATTCTGGATATCTACATTACATAAATGTCCATTAAGTCTAGGTATAAAACAAAAAAAAATTACTAATTGTATCAGTTTTTAGAAACATGGGAACCTGTGTGTTTACTTGGTGAAGAGTTGAGCATATTCTTGGCCAGAAGATGGGAGCACTAAAATAAAAAACAAAAAGAGTTGGGAATAACTTGTTTTTCTTTTGCAGGGAGTGGGAAGGAAGAAAATTTCCACTCTCATTTGTCTAGAAAGTCTCCCAGTTTTCAAGATGATTAATAGTAATAGCTAATTCACACTGGCCTGGCTCCCCAGCCATCGTATCACCTCTAAGGAAATATATACTTGATATGGTTTGGCTCTGTGTCCCCAGGCAAACCTCATGTTGAATTACAATCTTCAGTGTTGGAGGAGGGGCCTGGTGGAAGGTGATTGGATCATGGGGGTGATTTCCCCCTTACTGTTCTCTTGATAGTGAGTTCTCATGCAATCTGGTTATTTTACAGTTTGTAGCACTTCCTCCTTTGCTGTCTCTCTCCTGCTGGCCATATGAAGATTGTGCCTACTTCCCCTTTGCTTTCCACCATGATTGTAAGTTTCCTGAGGCCTCCCAGCATGCCTCCCGTACAGCCTATGAAATTGTTAGCCAATTAAATATCTTTTCTTTATAAATTACTCATTCTCAGGTATGTCTGTATAGCATTGTGAGAACAGACTAATACTATACTGATATTCATGTCTATCACAGTCTCTCTCATCAAACATAATTATTTTCAAGCCTGACCATTCCTTAGATTCGAATGGGAGCCACCTTTCTGGTTACCTCACAGCCTAACTACCCAGGTCTCCCTCTAACTCCTACAATATCTTTAACTGAAGCTGTGAGTAATAGCAGATTATGGTACCCTGGCTATAGTATATGATCATGGCATATTTACTCTTACTCCTAACTTGAAAATGGTGGAAAAAATACTATATTCTCTCCCACATCTCTGAAAATCCTAGCCACAAATTGGCTGAGTCTGTGGTGGAACTTAAGTATCACTCATGAAGTCATTTTTGTCTTGGCTGCCAAATATGTGTAGTTAAGCTAAATATTGTGCTGCAGTAGCTATACTGACATATAATTCAATGTTATTCTCTCCTTGCAGCTGAAAACATACTTAATGATGAAAGACAGAATGTCTTTCCCTCCAATATTGTGAATATGGCAGGTATGTCTGCACTTACTACTACTATTTAACATCATACTGGGAGTCCTAGCAAGAGCAAGGCCAGAAAAAACAAATAAAAGGCAGACAGGTCAGACACAGTGGCTCACATCTGTAATCCCAGCACTTTGGGAGGCCACGATGGGTGGACTGCTTGAGGCAAGGAGTTTGAGATCAGCCTGGCCAACCTGGCAAAACCACATCTCTATTAAAAATACAAAAATGAGCCAGGTGAGGTGGCACACACCTGTAATCTCAGCTACTCCGGAGGCTGAGACATGAGAATTGCTTGAACCCAGGAGGTGGAGGTTGCAGTGAGCTGAGAATGTGCCACTGCACTCCAGCCTGGATGACAGAATGAGACTGTGTCTAAAAAAAAATTTAAATAAAAGATACACGGATTGGAAAGGAAGGCCAAAACTGTTACTATCTGCAGGTGACATGATTATATATATAAGATGTCCCAAAGAATCTACAAAACAAGGTCCTAAAATTAAAAGTGAGTTCAATAAGGTACAGAATAGAAGTCAAGGTACAACATGCTAATTTTCTACAATGTATTTCCTACAATGCAATTTCAATAATTATTTTTAAAGTGCCATTTACAGCAGCACAGTAAATGCTTAGGTGTAAATCTAACCAAATATGTACAAGATATGCAAACCAAAAACTACAAAAAATAACAAAAGTAAGGAACAGCGAGCTATACCATGTTTATGGATTACAAAAGTCAATATTGTTAAGATGTCAATTCTCGGCCAGGCACAGTGGCTCACGCCTGTAATACCAGCGCTTTGGTAGGCTGAGGCAGGCAGATCACAAGGTCAGGAGTTTGAGACCAGCCTGGCCAATATGGTAAAACCCCGCCTGTACCAAAAAAAATACAAAAATTAGCCGGGTGTGGTGGTGCACGCCTGTAGTCCCAGCTACTCAAGAGGCTGAGGCAGGAGAATTGCTTGAACCCAGGAGGCAGAGGTGTGGTCAGCTGAGATTGTGCCATTGCACTCTAGTCTGGACAACAGAGCAAGACTCTGTCTCCAAAAAAAAAAAAAGTCAATTATCCCAAAATCAATCAAATATTCAAAGCAATCCCATTCAAAATCCCAGTAAAACCTTTTGTGGAAATCAAGTATGCTACTCATATAATAAAGCTGAGGAAAAAAAAAAACAATGGAGAAAGGAGGCATTATTCAATAAATAATAAAGGAACATTTGGATATCTCAATAGGAGAACAGAATTAGATTCTTCACACAATTACAAAAATTAATTCCAGGTGGATTAAAACGCTAAATGAAGTAAATCTAAAACTCTGAGAAAATATGGGTGGTATGATATATACCAATAAGCTTCATTTTGTCTGCCCCGACATCTGATGGCTAAACCCTGGAATGAACATCTTAACAAGGGGCTGGGCAGCCTGTGTTCCAGCACTACCCCCAGATGTCTCCAGAGGTATCTCAGATGGCCTCCCTGTGTCTGTACCCACTTGTAACCTACCTTGCCATAATAACCAAATGATACTGATTGCCAAGTCCTGTGTTTTCTCTTAGCTCCTCCTCTCTTCTCCTCCAACTTGTGGTGATAGTGAGGATAAGATTCTGCTCTGAGGGCTACTGGAGCCCCAGCCATTCCCTGAGGATGTGTGTTTTCCTGCTACAGGCCAGGGATACAAGTAAACATCCTACAGTGCACAGGACAGCCCCACCAAAAATGATCAGGTCCCAAATATCAATAGTGCCAAGTTTGAAAAATCTTGCTTCGGATTGTGAACCAAAAGCTCCCTAACCAGATCAAAGATCAGGAAGGGCATGCTGTTCTAGACATGATTATGATAATGTCAAGATTTTGCAAGTAAATGAGTAATAATAACTCTTGATAGAGGTTTTATAGACCAGTAAACTTGGGAATGACAGGGGCATATGTTGAAAATATTTTTTAAATAGGGCTGGGTGTGATGGCTCATGCCTATAACCCCAGCACTTTGGGAGGCCAAAGAGGGAGGACTGCTTGAGGCCAAGTGTTCATGACCAGCCTGGTCAATGCAGCAAGACCCTCTCTCTACTTAC